AGTGCTCTGCCTCCCCCTAATAAAAACTGAGGTTGATCATAAGTATGGGAAACTCAAAACAAAGTAGAGCAATAAGAGCCACTCCAGTACAAATATGTCCTAAAGACCCTACTACTTTTCTGCATCAAAGATAATACTGGCTAAGGCCAGCAGCTAAGAAAGGGCTGTTACCCATAACTGACAATTTAAGAGCACAAAGTTTGCTTACACTAGCCCCTTACATTAGCCCCTTATAATATTCTGATCCTGGGAGTTCAAAAACCCAACAGAGAGTAGAAATTGGTACAAGATCTTAGACTGATAAGTGAAGCAGTAGTGTCCATCTGGCCAGTGGTGCCCAACCCGTATATTCTTCTTTCTTAGATCCTAAAGCTATTGGCTTTCAGTTTTGTATCTAAAAGAGGCCTTTTTCTGCACTCTGCTACATCTTGACTGCTAGTTTCTTTCTGCCTTTAAAACTGGTCATGACCAAGCTTCTTAACTGAGTTGGACTGTACTGTCTCAAGGGTTCAGAGCCAGTGCTCACTTTTCTGGACAAGTGCTTTCCCATGATTTGGCCTGTTTCAAATTCTCTCAAGTCACAGTCCTGCAATATATAGATGATATACTGTTACCTACCCCCTCAGAGGAGCTCTTCAGCCAGAGCACTAGCCCTGCTGAATTTTCTAGCAGATATAGGTTATAAGGTCTCCAGGGGCAAGGCACTGGAAAAGTCTTTCCTTGGTAATCTCCTTCCCTAGGGCCAACTTGAAAAGTACCATACACTGAGATCCTGTCAACTCCCTCAGCTGTCAAAATAGCTGGTCTCCACTTGCAGATACATCATACTGGAGTTAAGCCCTGGGACCCAATGTTGACACTAAGCATGTGATTTGCCATCTAAATCTTCCTGTGAGCCAGTAAAAAAATTTAAAGTTCTTGTTTAAAAAAAATCACTCCTCTAGATAAATAGTCTAAAATGTTATTCTTTGCTTTCCTCATAGTTATTCTTATACAGCCTAAAAAGGGAAAATCAAGCAGCCACTGAAGAGCAGCAGCCATGGTTCTGCACTACCCCAGGGCTGTAAGCCTCAACAATGGCCACAAGGTGACCAAGAATGTGAGCAAACTGAAGGCACAGCTGCCACCAAAGGTGCCTCACCAACCACATCATGCCCCTGCGGGACATATCCAGGAGGTGTGGGCATCATGGAGCTACTGAAGGTCTCCAAGCACAAATGGGCCCTCATGTTCATCAAGAAAAGGGTAGGGACACACATTCCACACCAAGGGAAAATGCAAGGAGCTGAGCAACATGCTGACCACCATCAGGAAAGCAGCTTCCAAAAAAGACTGAGCCCCTCTCCTTGTGTGGAATGAATCTTTGGAGAAAACAACAGCAACAACAACAAAAAGGTAAAAATCAAATTTCTTTTTAATATGGGCTCAAAAATAAAAATATACAAAATCATAAAAAAAAATCCTGCTGGGTTGGTGGCCTACTTCTCTTGTCAAATACCTCAGGACTTCCTTGGTAGATATCTCCTTTCCTAGGAGAGGATTGAGACAAACTACAAGACTGTATTGTTCAGTCACAAAAAATCTTGTTAATTCATAAAACAGCTCACCATTACCAGGTGACTACATGGCCTAAACACTTTACCCTTCATGACCCAGGTCATAATCATGCTTTTCCAACAATGCCACTGAGGTCTACTACAGGCACTAGTGGAGCCCTTCTTAACTCAGTATAAAGTCACAAGGCCTATTATTAGACCTAATAACAACAGATATCAGTAGAGATACTTCCAGATGTGGGATGACTATATATAGTTGACTCCCATTGCAAGACGCCTTGGTCAAAAGGTCCCCTTATGTTGAGAACACAAAAATCACTCTTACTCACATTGGCCCAATATTATTGAATATATGAGAGAGACCACATGATCAGTATACACATATAATAACATTGCAGATAAAATTAGATAGTGTACTCCCAATGGCATCTTTTGGTTACCTCCAAGACAAATAGGGAGATATTCTTTAAGGTATGCCTGGTTACAAAACAGATGAGTTAAAAACACTGACTTACCCTATCTTCAACACCAGTGATCTCAAAATATATTTCACTGGTATGATCATCTGGCTACCTTTGTTCCTTCCCTGGGATTAAAAGATGTCATGCACCATATAGAGACATTAATTATACCCACAGGGCCTTAAATGACACCATAACCATAACATTCAAATTAATGAGGCAGGTTGTCCTACAAAATTGGACAGCCTTAGACATTTTAAGAAAAACACAAGGCTAAACTTGTGCAATTATAAAAACTGTGACTCAAACAAGTTAATGCTATGTCCAGTCTAGAGGGCCCTTGGACTCTTTCTATATCCTCTATATAAAAAGCCATTACTGGCTCTATTGATAAAAGTTTTTGCTGACAATAGTGGTGATTGTTCTCTTAATCTTCTTTGGGTCCTATGTGCTTAACTGTCTGCTTGGTTTCATCTTCTCTAGGCTTAAAGGTATCCACCTGCCCCTCCCCACCATGTCTGATGTCTATAGAGGGCCTTTAGATAGGACACCTGAGCAGTGTCTCTGACTGCCAATCAAAATCACAACCCCTTTCACCACCAACAACAAAAAATCCTGAGCGGTCTTCATTCATTTCCCCTAATGACAGTTGGAGATAGCTCTTCAGAGGAGAAATATTATAGATAGCTAAATCAGATAGAGGTTGATAGGCTGTTAAGAAAAGAGCAGGCCCAAGATAGAATCAAAACAGAGATGAGATAAACCAGACTAATAGTTAAGGGTTGAGTTGATGGAAACTAGGCCCCAAAATAGAGACATGATGGCTAGGCCTGCAAGCCTCCCCAGAGATGAATAGCAGCTTACAGTTGTAACTGGCACTGTTTGGTCCAATAAGCCTAAGCAACATAGCAAACATGTAGATAGATGACCAGAGCACTCTGATCCTCACTCCTACCTCTTCCAGAAATGCTTTGTTCTCTGTGCTATGTATCCTTGCTACATACTTTGTTTTCCATTTCTTCTTTTCTTTTTTTTGGTTTTAGGCTGGCCTCAAACTTGAGACAATCCTCCTGCCTCAGTCTCTCAAGTGCTAGGATTACAGGCATGAACTGTACTTTATTGTCCTACTAAATCAATATTAATTAAGTAACTCTCCTTGTAATCCTATAGGTTGAAGATTTACTCAAGATAAACTGCGAAGTAATTTACTGTATAAAAACCCCCTAGGCAAAGAGCCTTAGCAGCAACCCACATTTGGGTCCCCTCCTGCCTCTTGGGGGCTTCTTCTTAATAAAACATTTCCTGCTCTTAACCTCCTTTGTCCTCAACTCCATTCTTTGGCATCTTAAGGCACAACCTGAACACATCTAACACTTTGGGAATTACTTCCCTATAACAAAAGAACATGTCAAAAAATGATCACAGTAGTACTATTTGTAAGAGGCCCAAACTGGAACCAACCTAAGTTCATCAGTAGAACGAGAAAATATGTACTATTATGAGTAATGAAAGTGATTAACTTCAATTTTGCAACATGTATGAATATTGCAGCTATAATGTTGAGAGAAAGAAGCTAGACTCAAAGGAGCACCTCCTGTACCCTGCTGTAGTCGTTGTATGACATTCAAAAATAGATGGGAACTTAGGGTGTTTGAAGTCAGTGTTGGGGATGGTGACTGGAAACTGATTAGAAGTTTCTGGGGTCCTGGAAATATTCTGTTTCTTGACCTAAGTGCTGTTCATATGGTGAAAATTCACTGAGGTGTGCATTTGTTGTATGTAAGTCATACTTTATACAAAGAAAAAAAAGTAGGCTCTTCTCAGCTGTAGGCCATTTTTTTGTCATTTGACCCATGGAGCACTTCTGCCCAAAATAAACACCTCTTATTGGAAGAGTTGTGTTAGCTGCCCTCACCTTTCCCTTATCTTTCCATCCGAAGAACTTATTTTCAAAACCTAAGGAGTATGAAGAACACCTAGCCTTCCCCAGACGTTTGCAATGTTTCCTTGACTAAATCACATTTCCTCTAAAAGCAACAGAGTCTGCATAAATGCAATTTTGCCTCCATCATATAATACCTTTCATATTAGCATTTACAAAGAAATATGAGCTCTTTGCTTTTAACTGGCTAAATAATTTGGGTGTATTGTCCTGATAATAAAACATTTTGCCAGACCGGGGATATAGCTCAGCGGCGGAGTGCCTGCCTGGCAAGTGTGAGGTTGTGAGTTCAATTCCTGGTCCAAAAAACAAAACAAGACAAAACAAAAGATATTTTGCCCTAAGAATATTGTGTCTCCATGTCTTGACAAATAGAAATGACTTACAGATGTAAGAGGGTGGTGAATTTGTTTTTCTGTTTTTATTTATTAAGGTCGCACATGGTTCCATGTGTAGAATATTATTAGGACTGTACAGACTATGGGTATAATATGTGTATGGCAGTATTGCTTTTAAAAGTAGAAGTATGGGAACACCTTAGACATTTACTAACAGGCAGAATGGTTAAGTTAATTGTGGCATGGTCATACAGCAAACACTTAAAAAGAAATCTCTATTAATATAAAGAGAACTTTTTACATGATAAAAGATGTAAGATGCATCTGTATTCTATCAACCACAGATTTTTTTTGAAAGCTAATATACTAATAGTTTTAATTTTGTGCAAAGTCACTTGCAGGACTAGGGTTATAGGATGGTAAGGAGATTTCATTGTACATCATTACACATTTGTCTGAATTATTATTTACTATATCCTGGCATAAATTTTGAATAATGATAAAATCCTCATGTCTGAGTTCTTCTCCAGTTACTCTACTCATGAGGGGGCAGATGGGGTGGGTCTTAATGTTTTGAGTATATTGACTTAATTTCAGCTAGTAGGCAGTTAGAGCTGAGAATTGTATGCACACACACACAAACACACACATCTGGCATTCACACAAAGGAAGACTTTGCAATTTCTAGCCATGCCATATTCACCTGCATGGATTTCTAGTTGTACAGGGTCACTCTGTGCTGAGAGCCCTGTTTGGCACATGTATTCACCGCTGTCACTGAAACTTGCTGCAACGATGCTGTGCCTGGGAGTTGAGGTCTGAAGGGTTGTGCCATTGAGGAGCCAGTGCACGGAGTTGTTCCCAGGCAGGTGAGGCCCCTCACACCACAAGGCAACATTTTCTTCTCGGAACACATTGACCCATGGAGGCTGCAAGGTGATAACTGCCTTTGTGGAGTCCTCTTGGGTATAGAAACAGAAATAAAAACAAGAAACAAACAAATAACAACAAATAGAATACAAGGAAGGGCTCTGAGTGATTAATAAGGTTTTGTGGAAAGCACAAAGAAAAAAATGCATATTTAGATTAATTTGAATAAATAGGCAAGTGGGAACCTACAAAAGTGAGCCTAAAGGCAGAGAGCTACAGAGAGCTTTGTTCATGTTATTGAATCTTAATCTGGGAATTGGGAATATTGGGTTCCTGATGAGGAATATTGTGTTACTGACTTAGTTCTCCCTGGGGTAAGGAATAAGGCACATTTTAGGGTAGGACAACTGACTAGAGCCAGTTTCCCTCTCTTTGATGCCGCACTATGTCTAAGGGTAAAGCACAGAACTTCACTGCCTTCTGCATCTGAAATGCTTCCCTTTGAAGACTTCACTCTGTTCCTGGCTCTCTCTGCAGAGACAAAAAGAACTCAGCTTTCCTGTAAAGAGGACTAGTCTGGGGGATGTTGGGAAACCCAGCAGAGCTTCTTCTGCAGTTCTGGATCATCCCTGTTCTTTTTTTTTTTTTTTTGAGGGGGGGTGCTGTTCTTGTATATACAGAGTTCAGCAGTCAGGACTCATATAGAAACACTTAGGAAACTTAAGAAAATTTAAAGATCAGAGTTTTGTAAAAATCACATTCTGAATATGGAAGGTTTTCACACAATTTACAAATCTTTCTCCTGTCTATCCTCTTCCGAAACTCTCTTCTTCAGGTTAATGACCCTCATCCTTTGGAAGTCGAAAAGTGGTGTAAGAGAAATTGGGCTGGAAGTCACTCACCCACTTGCCCACCAACTGGAACTGCAAGAGAGCAGAGAATAGAGATATCAGTTTGTCAGTGGGAGATAACGACAAAAGGCGAATTGGGAACAGAGAATGATACAGACTCTGAGGGAATACTTTAGGCCTCTTGAGAGCCTCTCTATCCCTCTTTCTCAAAATCAAGTATCAACTGAACTGATGGTCATTGATTTTATCCAGTATTGAGGCTCAAACCCAGGGACTGGCACATTCTAAGCAAGTGCTCAACCACCAGAGCTACACCCCTAGCCCCAATGAGGTTTTATTTTAATATGAGATCTTCATATGTTATACCAACTCAGGATTCCCCTTTATATCCTTTTGATATAGTAAATACCAAAAACCCAATCATCAAAGCCCAGAAACCGTTGTCTCAATGCTCATGATTTCTAGTGTAATATATCAAAGGAAAACAAACAAAAAAATCGTAATTCATTACTGGAGTTTGTATCTTTCTAGCCACTTGCCAGAGTTCAACTTACCCCAAAGGAGAAGAGCTGTCAAAAGCCACATGTTCCCTTTAAGCTGGTGAGAGCAGTGAAATCTGCAGCATGAACATTGAAGAGATTCTGCTGGAGGCCCCAGGGCAGTGATCAGAAAAGAGGAAGGAAGTTGCTGCTTCTGACCACATTCATCATATGTCTTTATTTTTTTTAATTTTTTAATTTTTTTGGTTTTTCTCCAGTACTGGGAACTGAACTCACAACCTTGCGCATGCCAGGCAGGTGCTTTTGCTGCCGAGCTAAATCCCCAGCCCCTCATCATATGTCTTTCCTGGGAAACACGTTCCTAATTTTTGAAGCATGGTTTTTCCATTCTAATATCCCTTAGTGCACCGCTCTCAATGTGAGGTTCTGTTTATTAGGTGACGATTTTTCAGAGTCCAGGGGAAAGAACTAAATTTTAATGGCATCTATTCTGATTATATTTTCCCTTTATTATGTCTGCTTCTTAGGGCCAGAATATGGCAAAACCCCACTTTTATAATTGGTGCAAGTTCTGGTCAGTGATTGATCATTTGAATCCTGAAAACTCTATATCGGCCTCTCTGAAGCTTCTGAAGTGATATTGAACTCTGCGAGTTTCCCAGCATAAACCAGCTTCTGTTCCTTTGAGGAGTACAGAAAGGATCAATCTTTAATTCTAGCAAGTATATATTTATATATGTATAAAATCTAAATATATATACATATAAAAGATAAAAAATCATCTTCCTGAGAGACATTATGAACTTGTAGTGTTTGTTTGGGCTAAATCCAAGGAAATTAAATGTTCAATGTATAGGCTGAGTGAAGAAAAGTTACTCATACCTATGGGTGGAAGTGGGTTTCAGAGTACAGGTGGAAAGTCCCCTGTCACCAAAGTCAGTGGATTCCTGAGGCATAGCTGTAAAGATGTAAAGAAGCTTTTAGGTATTCTGTTGAGAAAGAGCTAAATGGAAACTAGGATGAGCTCAATGAATGCAAAGGACCTTGGGTAGCAATCTCCCTGGCAAAGTGAAAACTGATGATAAGTAACATGGTAGAACTCATTACTGGCCCTAGTTGCCTTGAATTTACATTGTCTTCACAGCATCTTGAGAAGCAAGGTGTAGCTATCTCTCGCTATAACTCATCTATGTGATATTTATTGGCCAGTAGAACATGGACAGAAACAACATTGTGCTAATTTGAACTTAGAACTAGTTGTAGGACATTTCACGTATTATCTTCTCACACTTTTGTGCTTCTAAGACTGTAATGACATGAACATTCTATGGCTAGTCACCCATGTAGGAAGCAAACTGTCTAACCATCATAACCTGAAGCAGAGCTAACTCAGCTACCCTGGAAACCAGTGAAAAATAAATGCAGGTTTTATGCGACTGAGATTATAAGGTTATTATAGAGCAGTAGCTACAAATGGAAAACAAGGAAGCTCTGGAAAGAACTCAAGATGTTCTGAGACAGATGCCTCAGCTCACTGAAATTTACATTCAAAGGTGATACTTATAGTTCCATACTATTTCCTCAGCATAGTTTTCCACTTTATGGATGTAGCTTAATATATTTCATCAACTTCTCCTCCTGGGTGTTTCTTTTCTTTTTTTTTTGGTACCAGGAATTGAACTCATGATGTCAGACTTGCCAGGCAAGCACTTATGCCTCTGAGCTTTATATCTGGCCCTCCTTCTGATTGTTTCTGATTCTTTACTATGATGACCAGCACTGCAACACTTTAAACATTCAACTTATTTGTTCCTTAGGGCACATTCCCAGAATTGGTAGTGCTGAGTAAATGAATGTACACACATTTTTTTCCTTTGGGTAGTTTTGGCATTGTCTAGCATTATCCTCACCACTGCATATATTTGTAGAGTGCTTACTATATGCCAAAGTTGTGCTTCATATTCATTTTTGCATTTAATTCTTACAATTAGAATAGAATAGACATAACAGTATATATAACAGATATAACAGTGTAGTTATATCTATTTTACAAATGAAAAAATTAGGCAATGAAGCAGCCAGTAATTTGTCCAAGGTCATAAAAAGTAGAAGTTGGATTCAAAACTAGGTAGCTTGATTTCCTTTACAAACTCACTGATAGAATATAGAAGTTCCCACCTCATCCCTTGAAATTCCAACTGCTGCTTTAAAAATTAAGTGAATGCATTTAATTGATCAAGATGAGATAGGGGAATGAGTATTGTTGGGGAGCAGAAATATAAGATCCATGACATGGGGGTTGGGGGTTTAGCTCAGCGGCACAGCGCCTGCCTGGCAAGTGCAAGGTTGTGAGTTCAATTCCCAGTACCAGAAAAAACTCCCTCCTCCAAAAAAAAAACAAAAAAAAAAAAAACAAAAAAATCAGTAGTACCTCTTATGTATATCCTAAGTTGAAAGCTATGGGTTTTGTTGTTGTCGTAAAGTCAAACTGATCGGGCTCGCACACTCCTTCCAAGGAACGAAAAAAAAAAAAAAAACAACGAAAAAACCACAAAAAAACAAAGAAGATTCATGACCTAGAAGGGTGGAATATTTTTTTAAAACTAAGTATTCATAGCTTCCAAATGTTAAGGTAATAGTCAATGTTATAATTTGAATTGTGTAAAAAGAACTAGGATATTGGGGGCAAATATTATAACTAATGTAGACATAGTAGTCTTTCACATTTAATGACCAATAAAAATCTGATGTTCACAAGGATCATGAAGAGAATTTACATGTAATGATGATCTTTAAAATTGATTCACAAAGGGGCCAGGGATTTAGCTCAGTGGTGCAGCGCCTGCTGGCAAGTGTGAGGTCCTGAGTTCAATTCCTAGTACCCACCCCCCCAAAATAAATTGATTCACAAACATATTTTTCTCAAGTATTTTACCAAATATTGTTCTCTTTTTTACCACAGAAAATGATTTGTGAACAGTTAGAAATCTAATTAAGTTTTAAATCAGATCTTATTGGTACATTTTAGATGTACATAACAATCACATTCATCATAAAGAATTTGTGCCTGTACATGACGTAACTTGTTTTTCTCCCCGATTCCCCTACCCTTCAACCCCTCCTCTCATCCCTATTTACAAGCTTTGTTTCCATGTTTTCCTTCTTTTCTTTTCTAACTTTTTCCTTCTTTCATTTTCCTTTCTCCTGCCCTTTGTTCCCTTCCCCATTTGAAGACTTTCTTCCTATTTCACAATATTTATTATACATTTTGGTCCTTATTTGCACTTTTGGTTCATCACACCAGAGAAACAATGTGGTATTTACACATGTGCATCTACTTGATTTCACTTAAGAGTATGGACTCAATATACATTCATTTTCCTAGAAATGTCTCGAGTGTGTCCTTCTTTATGGCAGAATAGTACTCCGTTGTAGAAAAAACCCACATCTTTATCCATTCACCAGTTGATAAGCAACCCAGGGATTATTTCCAAGATTTGGCTACTACAAACTGTGCCACTATAAACATAGGTGTGCATATATCACTGTAGTATGATGCTTTTAATTCTTTTAGGAAGAAATGCAGGAGGGGAATGACTCAGTCAAATGGAACCTCTAGTCCTAGTTTTTTGAGAAATCTTCACACTGACTTCCATAGTATTTGCACCAGTCTACATGCCCACCAACAGTGGAGAAAGGTTCCTTTTTCCTCATAGCCCCACCAGCATTTGTTATTGGTTGATTTTTTGATAACAGTTATTCTTTCTGGGGTGAGATGTCATCTCAGTGTCATTTTATTTTATTTTATTTTATTTTTATTTTAAAAATAAAAGGAGGAAAACATTAACAGACAGA